GTGTGTGTGTGTGTGTGTGTGTGTGTGTGTGTGTGTGTGTGTGTGTATGCACATCCATTCAGAGGCCCAAGGTTGATGTCAGGAGTCAGTTTTGATGGTTGTTTTTACCTTATTACCTCCATCCCCCATCCTAATGGGGGCTGCTGAGGTAAGGGGCCCTTATTCTACTTCAGTATGTGGCAGGCAGGAAGGGGAGGGGGTTCAGGGAACAGGTCAGGGCCTGCTCACTGTCAAAGGAAATATCCACCCTTTTAAGCCTTTAAGAAACTGTTTTCTTCCAAGTAGATCCCCGTTACCAAGGCAACTTGAGAACTCTGGGCTTTGTGTTTCTGCCCAACGTCCCTGGGGAGAGATGGCCTGCTGAGCTTTCCCTAGTCTGGGCATGATGCAGGACAAGCTAACCGGAGGTCCTTGTGTGGGGAGGGTCTCTCACCTCATTCCTTAGGTTCTTATCCCCAAGAGGAGCCCACAGCACCCCTTCCTGAGCCTCGTAAGTCAGTTTTGGCCACACATCGATAGGCCCAGCTTCTCCAAAACAAATGTCTGCACCCACTCTATGGACCTTCCATCCGTCTTAGAAGCTGAGGCAGATGTTGTGGAGGGGTGAGCTTACACTAGACCATGGTGTGTGCTGGGGAATCATTGTTACATCTATTTCTCAATTGTGTACTATGTATTAGAACTGTATCTCCGGCCTGGTGCCTGCTTTGGGAGCTGTATGGGAAGGCTTGGAGGAAAGTGGCCAGGAAATGTCCTCTGGGCTACTTAGTCCCCACAGCTAGACTGGCATTAGAGTTGCCCCAGAAGCTTTTCAGAAATAGTGATCATGGAGAAGTGAGTTTATCGGTAGTGTACATAGAGATTAAGAGCACAGGTTCTGGATGTTACAGTGTGGGGTGACCAGGAGCCAATTGTGTGAGCTTTCAGATCTCAGTTTCTTCACTAAAAGACCATTTGAAGGGCCACAATGGGTAAACAATGAACAGTCAAGTCAGCATCAGAGGCAGCAGAATCTTCTGTCTTCCTCATCTCTTGGGAAGGGGGTTTTGGGAACCCTCAAGATCCTTTTCATCCTTCTACCCCCCCACTTCCTCCTTCCTTTCTTCTGTTCTGGAATTTCCTTTTTCTTGGCATGCAAAAAAGGCTGCTGTGAGGTGCAAGGTTCCCTTAGGTTGGGTGCCCAGGATCCCAGGTGGGGCCTGTCCATCCTTTGGATGGCAGCAACAAGCCAGAAAAGCAGTGGTGTCTTTGCCCGTGTGCAGTGAGTCCCATCCATTCCCATTCTTGTGTGCTTTCTCACTGGCTTCTTCAAGCCACTTCTCCCACACTCAGGCTTTTGTGAGGCATGAGGAGTTGTTTTCTTTTTTCTAAATCTTGACTACATTTTCATTTTAGAGGCCAGCATCCTCTAGTCCTCCAAGGATCTTGACATCTACACTTATCCTTAGCAGTCACTTCTAGTTCTCCACACAGGGGCTTGTTTACACACCTGCTTTTTCAGGTGAAGAATAAACAGCTGTTGCTATCCTGCTGTATACCCTGCTGTGAACTCTGCAGTGTAAACAATCAAAGAGGGTGTGGCCAACGAGAGGGTTGCTGGCAGGGCTGGCCTGGAAGACTGCAGGGCTGGCACACACACAGTTGATCCTTTTTCCTACTGTCTGTCCTTCACCTGCTCTCATTAGTCTTTATGCACACTGATCCCACTTGCCCCTGCCTGCAACATCATAAGAAATCTCAGGGCTGCAGGGTACCCACCCTGTCTGACCTTCTAAAACCCTGGAAAGAGTACAGGTGCTCATGGGACAGCTCACAGCCTGTATAACCTCATCCTTCCCCAGACTAGACAATCAGCCGCATGCTCAGCACTGCCACTGGGCCAGCCTTGCTGGGCTTCTCTGGAACAGAACCACCACCCACCTGCCTGGTTCCCTCAGAGCCCCCAAATATAGTACCGTTGGCCCAGAGCCTGCCATCGGACCTAAGATTGCTGAGATTTGGGTTCCCCAGTTCTTAAAAAAAAAAAAAAAAGACACCATTGCCATTGCCTGCCTGGATTGTAGCAATGATATGTTGGTGAAATGGTTCTCCATTTCTTCCTCTCAAAGGGTAAACGTGCCTCTGTAACTAGGACTGTTTCTCTACAGGAATCCTGTGAGGAGGCAGAACAGGGCAGAATGGGGAGACAGGCCTGTCAGACAGTAGAACCGATGGAGTGGGGGCAGGGAGGAGCTGTTCTGGGAGAAATACAAACAACTAACTACAGTATTGTGAAGAGGCCACTCACTTTCACCTACAGGGCAGTGACTTCTAAGCCTGTATCCTTCACTTGAAGAGGGTGAGAATAATAAAAAAATTCTGCTGCCCAGGATGGTTACTGGGATGAAAGATAATGGTAGATCGGAAGTGCCTAGCCCAGCACTCACAAGTAGTAGGGGTTCAGCGAGGAAAATGTCTTAACTCATTTCTGAACAAGCTGAGCAAGCCCCAGTATGGGGTGCAGTTTTTCTGACTCCACAGTCTATAAGAAGACAGGAGATCTTGCTGGCCCTGGTTGGCCTGCTCTGGGAATTTGTTTCCAGCTAGCTCACTGGAGTCCCATAGCACCATCTAGTGTCCCAAAGTGGAAGGGACCTCCCTGTCCACCCTGCCTACCTGATTCCTTCCTTCCAAGCACTGCTTAGACTTTCTTTGCCTAGAAGATCTCAAGGCTTTGGACTAGCACAGATCAATTAAGGTGCCTAGGAAGTAAGTACACAACTCCCCATCTATGTTCGTTCAGTAACACAGACACAATCTTTACACACCCTTTTTTTATTGAGGAGAGAAAGCTTTAGCGTACAGAACAATTTATGTTCACAACACAATAATACAACAATAACAGTCACAACAGTAACATATTTGTTTCTCCCAAGTCTCCGGGTATCCTTGGACTACCCTCATACCCTGCATGCATTCCCCCCACCCCCCACCC